GCTGATTCCTAAATTACCAGCTCCCACAGATGTTACAGCTCTTAGATTCTTCCTGGGAATGGTTAATTTCTCCCAAGGATTGTTAAAGATGGCAGCCCTACTGCATGAATTGTTAAAGGAGAGGATGGAATTGAACTGGGGCCCTCTGAAGCAGGAAGCCATGATCAAGTTAAAGCAGGCCTTAGTTTAGGCTCCAGCTTTAGTACCCCAGGTGCAACCACCATTTGTGCTACTGCTAGCAACTACAGAAAGGAGATTGGGAGCAGTGCTAAATCAGAACCATGGAACAGGCCTCTGTCCTGTGGTTTAAGCCTCCAAAACTATACGTTAAATAGAGAGGGGGGTTTACTCCCTGTGAAAAAGGAGGTTTGGGCACTAGTTTGGGTTTTGCAGCATTGGGAATACCTGGTGGGATTGTGCCCTGTGTTATTGAAAACTGCCCATTCCCCAGTAAAATATGTGCTTACTGGCAAGACTAATAATGGTCATGTCTTCAGCTCCAGCAAGCCCTAAGCAAATTAGAGATGATTAATTTGCTGAGCCCCAAGTGGGTGCTCAAAGCACAGTTAAGAGTTAAAAAAGGAGGGAGCAGAGGGATAGCTCAGTGGTTTGAGCATTGGCCTACTAAACCCAAGATTGTGAGTTCAATCCTTGAGGGGGCTACTTAGGGATCTGGGGCAAAATCAGTACTTGGCCCTGCTAGTGAAGGCAGGGGGCTGGACTCAATGACCTTTCAAGGTCCCTTCCAGTTCTAGGAGATAGAATATCTCCATTAATTTAAAAAAATTAATTAAAGAGCCCCTCCCAGGGGGATGGGAAAGAGGGACTTAGGTCCAAATAGCCTAAGTACAGGTTAATAAGTTAGTTACCTGTTTAAGTTACGTTTAAATGTATACCTCCTGCAATATAGGGAGGGCAGAAGTTTTGTTTTGCTTTGTTTTAGAATATTAATTATGTAGATGATGGAAGACATTGGAGATGATGCATTCCTGTGTGCTTTTTGGCTGGCATTTGGATCACAGGCCTACTCCTCTGATGGTCTGAATCTAGAACTTGGTGTGCCCGCAGCGTGGGAAAACTTCCTGTGGATGACAGTGCTGTGCAAAGTGAATGACGCAGTAGAAACTGATGTCGCCACGGTGACTGGAAAAGTCTCGAGCAGTGCTGTCAATGCTTCCTGGAAGTGGTCAGATGTCAATGGGACAGAAGTGATCCCACCCATGACTTATCTCCAGATGCCATAATGAGGGCTATCTGCTTTGGTGGACAGAAAAAAAAGCAATATTGCTTTAGGACTGTAAATTGGTGACAAATGCTAGTTTAAATTTTAGTTCTTTTTCCACCTTTGTGTTCATTTATGAATTGATATCCCCAACTGGACAGCATCAGGGGAAGAGACAATTCATTTTAGGCTGAAACACTCACTTGTATATCCAAACATTGGGCAGAAAACTTTGGGGAGAGGCAAGATTACAGATAAGGACACCAGGAGGGGAATGGGAGGCTCTTTTGCCTTGCACTTGGGAGGCCCTAGGTCATCAGGAAATTTGTAAGAGGGATAAAGGATATCTGAATAATAGGATGGTTAAAAAGTATAGAAGTGTGAATTCTGTAACCACCTAGAATTGATTTGATTGGAGCATATGTGGTTCAAATCAATGGGAAGACGTATGTAGAGATGAAGGTTAAGAGTAAGGTGAATTATGGTGAGTGTGTGGATGTACAATACAGACAATGAAACAGTATGAATGAAGAGGTGAATAATATTAATGCAATAGATCAATACCTAAAGGATTTAGCAATGCCCCCGAGGGTATTTTTAGATCAGCTAAGCTGCATACAGGATGGGGTGGAACAGGTTTTAGAGAAATGGGAGCAATCCCAAGAAAAGGACCACCTCTACCTCTTGCAGGCTATTGGTGCCCTCCAGAGTAATGTTTCCTTGGCCCTGACATGCTTGCAAATGCAGATATGGGTTACTGATATGGTAAAGAACATGATTTGAGATGGTATGAGTGGGATACTCACATTGGAAATTAGGAGCCTGCTTAGAAGAATTTGGGATTGAATATGAATGTACCACAAATATCTTATAGCTACAAGATGTATGTTTAGAATAGAGAGAATATGCCTGTATTTATTGAAATAAATTTGATTGTTTTTAAAATGTTAATTAAGCATTCCTATTTAAGAAATTATTGGTAAGTTGCTAGGCAGGAAGCACGCAGCGTCATGGTTACCATCCACCACGCTTCTAATTAGATTAAATAAGTGATTGAGATGGTTAGCAGATTCGGAACAAAATTGGTGGGAGATGTTATTGAGATGGTCCCCCACAGCACCGGAGATTTAATTTGGCCTTACATTTAATTGTGGTGATTCTAATGTTTCAGGTGGCATTGGTTGTTGTGCATCCAGTACTGATATGCTGGATTCGGAGGAAGATGGATCAGTTGCAAAGCCAGCGGTTCTATAGACCACAGGTACACCCTGAAGATATGTACATGAAGTCGGGTCCTTAACGAGGCAAAGTCAGGAGTGAAACCGGAGAGTGTCAGCGAGAAGATTTTTGCTCATATATGTAAAGGCCTTAATATTAAAAATATATCACCTTTAAGGAGAGGAATGTTGCGCTGTATTTGAGGGGTGTGTATACCCCAGAATGTGGTTAAGCTAACTGCAAGCATATTACATGCATTCAGCCACCCTACAATAATGAAATAGAACACCACATAGTTAAGGGTTAATTTGGAGACAGGCTTTCAGAAGCAAGGTCATATCTAGCTGGCAGTTTGCTGCTAATCAGAACGGGAGGTGACAGACAAGAAAAACAACTGAGACTGAAAACTTTGGTGGTTGGAAAACCTTGAGTCTAGACACCTTGGATATTAAAAGTTTATTGAAAATTTTAGAAAAGTGATGACATAGTAGGGATTATTATGACCTATGTGTTTTATAGAAGTTAGTTATAAAAGATTAGCTAATAGAGAGTACTTTGGAGCAGTCCTCGGAAGCCAACTTGAGAGAGGTTTTTCCTGACACTCTTTCTTCCCAGTGGGTGAGCAATTGGCCACTACGAACCTGCTGTTAATTACTCCAGATATTAGGTAAATATCTGGGATATTCTAAACCTATTGCTTATGTTTGTGTGTGCTTGAATCTAATAAACCGCAGTTTTAGATAGAGTACGCTTACTTGCATGAATCTTATCAGATGGAATTGCTGTGTTCCTATTGATTTATTCCTAACACTGCCTGGAGTGAAATAGTTAAGTTGCCCCTGTTGGGGGTTCTGAAGACCCCAGGTAACCGCATGACTATCCCAGGGCTAATTAAATAGCCTTTATCCAGCCCCAAATTGTCTTCATGGTTGCTGATTTATGGAAGGTGCATGAGCGTTCTAGCCTATGCAGCTGCAGAGGCTTCTTGCAATTTCAGCAGGGAACTTCACCTTTAGGAGTGGCCACATAGTGGGACTGAAGTCTTCCTAGGCTGACTGATGCCATTCAGTCAGGGATGAAATTTTAATGAAGTCACATAGCTTAGAAATTGAACTAAGCCAGAAAGAAGATATGAGAGAGAACCTATACCTCCAGTTAAGACCCAGCAAGGCAACCTTCTGCCACAGGGCTAGGGTTTTTTCCTCCTCACTGTGAAGTGGGTCACCACCACGACACCATACCCCAGCTGTTACCTGCTAGTCTATCTCTAGTGCATTATACTACATAATGATACATTGTCCAGCATTTCTTACATAGAATACAGCAATATTATTTTCCACAGGGCTTGTCTACAGGGGGAAATGGCCTGGAATAGATATTTCACAATAGCTCCTCATATGGACTCTTATTCTGTCCTAAGAATGCCTTTGTGCAATTTAACTCAATCCATTTTAGTAACAAATAAGAGTGTCCACACAGGGAGTTGAGGAATAGCAATTGTGTTTTAAATTCATACTCTAGCTTATTTCACAATAGACAAGCCCATAATGTTGCCCACATTTCTTTCACAAAACGAAAAACACATTTGCCAAAGCTTGACCAACCCTGGCAACAGGACTCCTTGTAAAGTTAAAGGGTTGTACAGCTACAGTACACCATGAAGACATTGGTGAGACAGATTCCAGTTAATGCTTTTGATCTATTGCTATAACCTGAATATCTAGTAGGTAGCAAGAATGCAGCAAAAAAGAACAAAAAAACCCTCACAAACAAAGAAGCAAAACTCCACATCTCAGCTCTATCCATCTTGTTGTTCTTAGGTTTTATTGGTTTGTTAGCTGTTCTGCATTTTTACAAAAAGTAACTTAAAACACTGAGGTTGAAAAATCAAGTGCTCAAAAGTTAGAAATTGCCAGAATTAAGTTTGCCTGTACAACCTGAATGTGGACCTCTTGTGTGTAGGCATTAGGATAAAGGGTGGGATTTTCAAAAGCATCTAAGTAACTTAAGAGCACAAGTCCCATTGAAAGGGTGTGGCAAATAAGACCTTTTTTTGATAGAAGAAGAAATCTCAATAGTAATTAGTTAAAACTCAATATAAAAAGAAATACTGCATAGTTACCAGCTTGTAAAGGAGATGGATTAATAGGACTGTTAAGAATTGTGCTCTCTGTGTGGTGCAATATACATTCATATTTTTATATATTTTCATTCTGCCACAGGTGCAATTCAGGGTCTTAGTGACTATTTTAAAAATCTTACATTGTCTGGAACCTAGTTATTTAAGAGAGATTCCTTCTGTACTACTCCAATGGTTGAGGTTCACTGGGGTATCTCAGCTGTCAGTGCCTAGAACTCAGCATTAGGGCAATCTCAGCTAAAGAAATTAGGAATTTACTGGCCATCAGACCCCAAGTTTGCTGAGCATCAGATGAAGTTTTCATATTGTCCTGAGTGGAATCTATTTAAAGATAAGTAACAATTTAGCTTATCTGAGAAATGCAAGTTCATTAAGTAGTATATTTTATGTTAAAATAAATTATACCAGACAATTTTGATATTTTGAATTAAACACTGTTAAGTTTATTTCCCAAAATAAAATTAATGCTGATCTTTTAATAATCATCAAGTTACCAAATTATTCTTACCAAAACCCATGTTTATAAATAATTAACTTTATTTCTGAATAACTGTCTGGCTACAGCCGTTAGCCTGCAACTCAATCTACTCAAGTGGACTCTTAAACCTGGGGAGAGTCCTCCCGGTGCCCCAGGGTTCTGAAATAATTGCAGAATTGGGGCACAATTGCAGAATTGGGGCATAAGCCATTATCCTTTCTAGGCACTTGCCATTTGGTTTTGTCTGGTATAAGGATTTCATTATCTACATAAATGCAACTTTATGGATGTAACTCTTTCACTGACTTCAGTACAAGTAGCTCAGAGAAGAGGTGCGGAATCAGACTAGTTTACATATATAAATACGTAACATCAGTAATCTCATTAATACTGAACACCATATTTCTTCTTCAGCTCTTCAACAGAATTATCCTCCAATCCTGACTGGTTCATGTGACTGAACAATACATGTGCAGCTGTAAGAGAAGATAAAAATTAACATGACTTTCCATTTTTAGACTTTCAGACACACTTTTTTAAATGTGTGATTTTAAGGTTACAGACAAACTGTTATAGAACATAAATATGTCCTGTCTTAAAACTGTCAATACATTTAATACGTCATTTGGATTTGATAGAAGAAGAAATCTCAATAATAATTAGTTAAAACTCAATATTCTGTCTATAAGAAACTGAAAACAAAACAAACCCCCACAAATGGCAACAGCCACCATTTTTGTTTTGGTGTTTTATACAATGAATAAAGGTCCTTTTACAGCAAGTAGTTAGCCAAAAAAACCCATAATTCCTCAGGTGCATATTCCTGATGACAAAAACAGAAAAACAAACAAGACACAAATTATCTTGTCTTTATGCTATTAAAAAGAGAAGGTAAAAAGTTTGTGCCAGATATCAGACAAAATTGGCATAAAAATAAAGTTGTTTATTCAAATTTATAAGCTGTAATGAAGAAAAATATACTGAAGTAAAAAAGTAGAAAAAAATGAATAGTTTCAAAACATGAAAATGTTTTTTACAACGAAACTATTTGTCCAAGAGGCTCATATTTGTTTTTTATTATAAAGAAAGAGTGGTAGCTGTAGTGAAGCTCAGCTATATGCAGTAATTTCCAAATTTATTTTTTAAAATGTCCATTTAGAAGCGATAGATGTCGTAGGACACCAAACAGCTTGTGCGCACAAAACTGGTGGTCTCAGTCCAGGTCTGAAGTAGACAAACATTCAAATGACAAACACACACCTCAATGGGCCGTATGAAAGGAGGGTCAAGGCACAAAGAATAAAACTCCTGTGAACTAACTGTGGTGGTCCTTCAAGAACAGTGCTGACACATACTGGCAGAACACTTTAGAGAAGCTTGCATTGTCTCTGCTTAAATGTGTTCTGTGGTAAACAGAAGAGGTCAATCTCTAGGACTGAGAAATCTAGCACATACATGAACACTAATTAAAAATAAAAAAATCAACTGAAAAAATAGATGTCAAAACAATTACAATGTATGACGAATGTTCAAAAGATGTTAAGAGGGATCCAACAGAATCTGAATCATGTAGCAAGTGTGAAAACAACCAATATTAAAAAAAAAAATTTACTAACAAGAGTATTAGGGCAAAATTCTCAAGGTGGGTCACAGCCCTTTGCACCACTCAAGTGGTGCAGAGGGATCATAATGTAGCTGCATATGCCCAGAGATGTCCCAGAAGTACAGGAACTCTGTTGGAGTATGTGTGCTTTCACAGGCCCTGCACCATACATCCCACAGCAGAACCTAGAGGGTCTAAAATGGTGGGAGAACAGAGGTGCGTCAGGGGCACGGAGGAGCTCCATCATGGCAATTATCCATTGGCAGGGTATATCATATTAGTGACTCTTTTCCAATGGCATGAGTTAAAACTGCCACGAAGCAGCTCTAAGTTGCATCAGAGCTGGGGCCAGCCATGCAAATCAGGGAGCTGTTTCAACCCACCAACCTTCTCCCGTGCCAAGACAGAATCAAGCCTTTAGTGCCTTGATATTACAGTGATGGGTAAAATGCAAAGGTAGCAGCATTAGAACCTGAGTTTGACTCTACAACATTTTGAAAATTTTCTTCCCAAATTTGATTTAGTGAGAATCAGATATGACATCATGCATTTTGGTACTATATTGTGCTCAATTATAATTGCAGCTACTAGGGTTTGTACACAACATTGCTATTGAAAAAGGTAGTTATAACCAGCATGTCTTTTCTGGCTGTTAGTTTGAGTTTGAAGGAGATCCTAAAAACAAAGTCTCTGAGCAGCACATTTAAAACAGCTAATTTGAGCCAGTGTTCGTGTCATTTAAAATCATCTAGATGGAATTTCAAGTAATCTATAATAAATCATTTACATTTCAATGACATTCAAAATGTTGTCCTAAAAGATATGCTCTAGGAATTATTTTGGGGAAGTTCCATGGCCTGTGTTATACCGAAGGTCAGACTAGATAATCACAGTGGTTCCTTCCAGGCTTAAAATCTATGAAGAATAATTTGTTTTGGGAGGGTCCTTCAAGCCCTGCACAGTACCCCAAGGATTTGTCCTCATTTCTTCCTTTATTTTCCCCACTTACAAAAGCCCTAAATAAACTGATCTCCCAGCCAAGGAGGATATGATTTGCCTGGAACCTGTCAGCTCCACAATTGCACGGGCAAGAATGGTCACTACACAGTGGTGGAAAATTTCCCTTCTCAGGGTGGTTGAGTTCACTGCTCAACCACTCTGATCCACATATCTCCCCCTCCACCACCCACCCCCAACCTCTCAAAAAAGAATCAAACTGGAGACCTTTTTAGAAGCACTTAGTTAAAGCAGCCTCTGAAGTGTAAATAAATAAGATTTCATGTGTATTTCCATTACTGGTTGTAAACTGAGTTGATACTGAAGTTCATTGTATCTGACTGAAATGAGACCTATGCCAAGATCCAAGTTTGAAAAAATAAAATAAAAAATGATCCAGCTTTACTTTGTACTTACTTTTTTTCTCCAAGTCTGACATAAACATCACTGCCATATCAAATCTTTTTAATTCAGATAGCCTCTGGAGAATTTCAAGGATGAGAGATGGTTTCTCTTTCCTAAAATAGCAGATTATTAAATATATATGAAAATAACTACCTCTGATTAGAAAGATCCAATAGCTACAAGCAGGATTATGGAATTCAGGAAATTCAAGCAACAGGAACAGATGAACTCAAACAAACAAACAAAGTCTGTATACAAATATTTTTAGTACTAGAGAACAAAGGTAAAAAAATACAGAAAGGAGGAGGAAAGTTGACAAGGTGTAAAACATTTAATCATGCACTAGTTATTGCTATTCTAAATATCAAATCATACTTTTCAGTACCCAAAAGGTTGGTGCTTGTGGTGTGTGTTTCTTTTATAACCTTTCCATAACCACAACACCTTTCTGAGTTGTTATTCTTAGCTCATAATAATGAAGAGAAAAATCAAATTCCTCGTTTCCAACCAAAAATGGAAGCAACAGATAATGTCACTTAAAAACACCATCTCTGGCTTTCCTAAGGAAGCACATGTTCATACAAACTATGTCAAATAAACTGCCTTAGTAGTAAGAAATCCATTTGATTCGCCACTTTTGACATCTACAGATCATGATCTATTGCAGGGGTCGGCAACCTACGGCACACGTGCCAAACACGGCATGTGAGCCGATTTTGAGTGGCACGCAGCTCCCTGCCATGGTCCCGGCCCCCAGCCCCACTGCTCTCCCCTGCGGGGGCAGGAGGCAGAAGCTTGGTTCTGCAGCAGCCAAGCTTCCCCCCTCCCCGCTTCTTCCCCCAGCGTGATGCTTTCCTGCCCCGCCTCCTCTCCGTCCCTGGCCAATCAGCTGATGGCCCTAGCGAGGGGGAGGGGGAAGAGCGGCAGCCTGCACATAGCTCCACTGAGGAGGCAGAGAGAGATAGGAACGGAGCCTGGGGGAAGGGGGTGGAACAGGGCATATCCCTTCCAGCCCCCTGCCATGAGCCGCTCAGGCAAGGGGCTGGGAGCACCCCCACGAGCCGAGCACCCCAGCCCTCTGCCCTGCACCCCAACCCCCCCACCCCTCTGCCCTGAACCCCCCAACACCCACCTTGCCTTCTGCCCTGCACCCCCACAGCCCCATCCCTCTGCCCTGAACCCCCCCATACACTCAGCCTTCTGCCCTGCACCCCCATACCGCCAGCCCTGAACCCCCCCCCCACACTCAGCCCTCTGCCCTGAACCCCCCACACCCCAACACACACCCAGCCTTCTGCCCTACACCCCCCACACACCCCAGCCTTCTGCCCTGCACCCCCTCCTTCAGCCCTCTGCCCTGACCCCTGAAACACCCACCCCCAGGTCTGGGGTCCCGGCCGCAGGCCCTACTCAGCCCGCTGCCGGCCTAGGTGAACAGAACCCCAGGCTGGCAGCGAGCTGAGCAGGCTGGTGGTGTAAGATCAGCATTTTAATTTAATCTTAAAACATTTTGAAAACCTTGTTTACTTTACATACAATAGTTTAGTTATATAATATAGACTTATAGAAAGAGACCTAAAAACGTTAAAATGTATTACCGGCACGTGAAACCTTAAATTAGAGTGAATAAATGAAGACTCGGCACACCGCTTCTGAAAGGTTGCCTACCCCTGATCTATTGATTAGTGCAGGGGTCGGAAACCTAGGACATGCGTGCCAAAGAAGGCATGCGAGCCGATTTTTAATGGCATGCTGCTGCCTGCCGGGGTCCGGCTCAGCCCGCTGCCGAACCCCGGCAGCCGGCTGAGCCGGACCCCGGCAGGCAGCAGTGTGCCATTAAAAATCCTGCCCGACCCAGCCCGCTCTTCTCCGCCCCCCGCTCTCTCTGGCAGGGGCAGGGGGCAGAAGCAAGCTTGCTCCTGCCGGCTGCTGCTGTACCGCAGGCTCCGCCGGCAGCCAAGCTTCCCCCTCCCCCGCCTCTTCCCCCAGCATGCTGTGTGGAGTCCTGCCTCCTCTCCCTCCCTGCTGCCGATGGCCCTTGTGAGGGAGGGGAGAAGGGCAGCCCCAGCGCCCTCGCTGCTCAGACCGGTAAGGAGGCGGGGAAGGGAGGCAGGAATGGGGCCTTGGGGAAGAGGGGTAGGAGCAGGGCGTATCCCTCCAGCCCCCTGCCGTGAGCCACTCAGGGCAGGGGGCTGGGAGCACCCCCCTGATCCCAGCCCACCCCCCCCACCCAGCCCTCTGCCCTGACCCCTGCACCCTCCACACATACCCAGCCCCCCATGCCCCATTCCCTGACTCTTGAATCCCCCACATCCCTACCCTGAGCAGCAGGTTGGCAGCTGGCTGAGCGGGGCTGGCGGCTGGGACCCCAGCTGGCAAGGGGCTGGCAGCCAGAACCCCAGATCGGCAGCAGGCTGAGCGGGGCAGGCAGCCGGGACCCTGGCTGTCAGGAGCCAGTGGACGGAACCCCAGACCGGCAGCAGGCTGAGCTGCTCGGCCGGCTGCCGGTCTGGGGTCCCGGCCCCGCTCAGCCCGCTGCCGGTCTGGGGTCCCGGCTGCCGGCCCCTTGCCAGCCGGGGTTCCGGCCGCAGGCCCCGCTCAGCCCGCTGCCGGCCTAGGTGAATGGAACCCCACGCCCACAGCGGGCTGAGCAGGCCGGCGGCTTAAGATCAGCATTTTAATTTAATTTTAAATGAAGCTTCTTAAACATTTTGAAAACCTTGTTTACTTTACATATAACAGTAGTTTAGTTATATTATATATAGACTTATAGAGAGAGACCTTCTAAAAAACGTTTAAATGTATTACCGGCATGTGAAACCTTAAATTAAAGTGAATAAATGAAGACTCGGCACACCACTTCTGAAAGGTTGCCGACCCCTGGATTAGTGTATGCAAATCCAGAGGGTTTCAGAAGGAAAGTAATGAGAGAGATTTTTAATGGGAACCTAGTAATTTGATTGTGAGGATTTACATAGTGATGCATGATTGCTGTCATTTTCAGCAGTATGGAAAAATCTCATGATTTTTTTTTTTGGACAGTGAGAGCATGTGAGACCACCTGCCTTCCTCTTTCACTACCAAGGACTACAAATAATCTTTTTTCTTTATACCTCACATTCCCCTCCTTTTTAAAACTGGTTTAACTTTCTGCTCTCATCAAATTCACTCTCTAGAAGCCATGCACATAGTAACACTGAATGTAGGACATGCCTCTTCGGGTGTGGTGATTCACCCTTATGATTTGTTATTGGTTGGACAATACTTGCTACCGGCCTATAGCCTGGCCCCTTTAATTTACACTTGCTATTCTGCATAATAAAAAACCATAACATATTTTTAGAGCTCAGATTAATTAATACGCTGTTCATAATGAGCAGAATTTTAGCCTCAAATAATGCAGCACTGAAATATCTCAGAAATAACTGCCAAGTGCTTTCTATTTTCTTAATATTAAGATTTTAATTCCCATACACATGCTTGCTACTTTTAAGTGTTCTGTTACAGAATACAAGCATATAATTAAAGGGGAAAAAAATAAAAACAGACACTGAAGGCATCACAATGAAGATAGCATAAAATAATGGAATTTCTTAGTTGTTTGCTCTTCTTTGAGCTACATTTCATTGTTTTAAAAATGAATTCTGTGCTCATGGAATGTGCTATCTTTCCAATAGAAACAAATCACTTCACATAGGCCACCAAGTAGTCAATCAGTGGCCAGTAATGACACAATCTGAATTTAAACCAATGACTTAACGCAAAAGGCTTTTTATTTCATTACCAATTTTCTCCTAGCTAATCCTTCTGAAATATTCTTCTGTACTAAGAATTAATTTCTTGAGGAATACATTTAGATAACTACATCCTGATAAGCCAGTGTTATATACTATAGACAGTTTGTTCGGTAAACTAAACAGAAAAAGCCTCTGTTGGCAGCAAGCAATATAAAACCCTAGGATAATTAGTGAGGAAATGAACTTACTCAATGTAAAAGTCTTGCAGAATTTTCAAAATCTGGTTAAATACATCTGGATCTAAGGATTTTTGGAACAGCTTAGGGTAAAGCGAAGGCTCTATTTGCTTTGGAAGAATAAAAAACACTGTTATTTACAGACAAAAAATATTATTCAATTGTGAAAACTGAAACTAGTAATTTTAAGTTCTCCTAGCAGGATCCATTCCCTTCCACATATTTTTATAGTGCCTACCAACATCATGGGTACTCCTGGAAATAAGTTAAAAAAAATTACAAGAATAGGTTTTGGTCTATTATGCATATGGCCTTCTACATTCTGTTGAAAAGATAGCCGTAGTTACAAGGAAATATATATTTCTTCTTAGAGCTATTCATTTTATTTTATTTACTTGTACCTTTTTGCAAGGGATTGTTAAAGGTTTTAAAAAAAATGTAGATTAACCCTTGGTAACAAGGGAGGAACTAAAATTACTTTTTTCCTTCAAAAATATTGAATTAAAATATACATTAAAGTAGTTTGAGGCACTTTAAAATATCTATACAGCCTATACAGGAATAAGAATGCTGTATTCTTCAATGCTACAGCTCCAATCCAGTAAACACACATGTGAGTAACTGGAGTTCAATGTGGATACCAAGATGTGTGTTTACATAATTTGGGCCTAAATTAGAAGGAAGGGATTTAAAAAAAAAAAAAAAAAAAATAGGGCACCTTTCCTCAACTTATACTGTAAATGTCAAATAAAACAAAATCAAGCACAGAATGAAAATTATTTTCACATGGAGTCAAAGCTCCTAGTTTCATGGGAAAGGGGTTTAAATTAAAATAAAGATACTGCCATTTGTGCACTGTTAAATCATTCCAGACACTAAATTTCCCAATCCACCAACGTAAAAGGGCACTATTTCTTTAATTATTTCTACAGTTGCAGTCACAGAATACTACTTCTCTTACCTTTAGGTACATGTACATCTTATCTGGGCAGCCTTTCATTTTTCTGAAATCAGATTCAAGCTGGAATGAATTTGCAGGGATTGCAGGGACATCAGATGTAGATGCAGGAAGTAATGTTTTTTCTTTTTCTAGATGATTTCTCAGACTGGACGATTGAGGTGTAGCTGATGGCATATCTTTCATACTGGTAGGAGGTCTAAAACATGTGTTTAATTATACATTTTAAAATAAAAATTCTGGCCATTTCATAAAGGAGTCTTAGTTGGAGCTATTGGGTGCCATCTCTTTTGCAAACCTGAGCCTTAATAAATATCCTCACTTTCAAGGTTTTAGTAATATTTTGTATAAAAAGCAATTATTTTCTTCAGACAAAAATATTCCTAAGTTTTGAAATAAAAGCAAACAAACATATTTAAATGGAGCTAATTAAATGTTTTTTTAAAATATGATTTTACTGGTCAATGTAAATGATTTTCCAGTCCTGTAAAAAAGTATATGCTACATATTTACGATATTTCCAGAAACAACTGTTTTTAGAGCACAAAAAACTTCTACCATTCAATATATATCAGCATTACAGAAATTCTTTCCCCCACAGCTGCAAGAATAAGAAAATAAGTTTTCTTTGCAATTTCATAATGCAAAACAATAAGCATGTCAAATGTGAAAACATTTTCAACACTGATTACAGTGCAGCCATTTGTTCTCCTATAATTTATTTGTCATTTCAATCAGTATATTTTTAGAGGTTAGAACATGGCTGTAAAAATGTACTTTTGCCCTAAAAACACTACAAACTGAATCCATTCAGCTGTTCAGGGGAGGAAAAAAAGAACTAAATTTTTCCAGACAGTTTTCCAGTTAGTAAAAACTTGTTAAAAAGGCGAGGAATACCATATTAATATTCTCTGACAGTTCAAAGAGCCTGGGAAATTAGCTTAAACAGCCAATCAAGGATTCCCAACACCTAGGTGTAGGGAGCTATCTCCATTGGTTCTACATCACCCAGCCCAGCACACACCCATTTTAGGAGTCATCCCAGGGATGATTCCAGCAAATGTAATGACTCTGTCACAGGCTTGCTGGCGTTTTAAGGGGAGTTGGGCTCAGCCTAGTCGAGACAGGTCAGCTACCCTCTCCCTCCAGCTGATACTGATCAGCTAGGGAGCAAATAGTCCTGTTTAATTATTAGTCCCAGCTGAGAAAGGGTTACGGGATGACCCCAAAGGGTTGCAAGAGCTTGGTTTGGGGAGGCGGGCTGATTCCTCTAGTAGACTCTGGAGAAGGGTAGCTCCCAGACAGACAGCCTGGTGGACTGAGGGTTTCAGGAAGGAGACTGGCTCCTATGACTGACCCTGGAAGCAGGGAAGCACCCTAAGAGTCAGTGCTCTGTGGAGAGTGGGAAAGACCTGAGAGCGTAGGCCAAGAAGGGTGGAGAACCCTTCTGTTATGCTGCACTTGGGATTACTGTTTACATTCATTACCAGTACCTTGCCGGGTAAGGCTGATGAAGACTACTCCCTGGGAGAAAACTGAGGCCTGGTGAATAGTGCTGTGGTGGGCCACAAGGGGGTGCTGTGGAGTCTGACCCTGCCACAGACTCCTTGGGAGCTCTTACCAGTCAACAGAGCTTAGAGCAGACACGAGGCTCCTGGCTGCCTCCACAATTGGAGAAGTGGTGGTAAAATGCTTTAATACCATCTTTGTTGCCTCCCCTCCCTGAGTGTGCAGAGCAAACCTCTAGCACTCCTGAGAATTTGCCCTAAAATTCCCAACTGACCTTCTATAATTGAGATAAGATGTAGTGCATAGGAAATGTAGCATATTTTCTACATCAAGATTACATAACTTTCCTCAGATATTTGGAATACTTGAGCAAAAAACAATCCAAGTTAACAACTTGTCTACCTGTATCTAAAAGACTCATATTTGTTGGGGGGGGGGGGGGGGGGGGGGGGGGAATAGCTCAGTGGTTTGAGAATTGGCATGCTAAACCCAGGATTGTGAGTTCAATCCTTGAGGGGGCCATTTAGGGAACTGGGGTAAAAATCTGTCTGGGGATTGGTCCTGCTTTGAGCAGGGGGTTGGACTAGATGACCTCCTGAGGTTCCTTCCAACCCTGATATTCTATGATTCTATGTTTCAGAAGTCTCTCTCCCTCTCTCACACACATACATTCTGTGAACCTGTGTTTCTAAAGTAAATCTTCAAACAAGGTGTATACAGCTACAAGACTATTTAATAAAAACAATACAGTAGTTACATTTTCAAATTTCAATTACAACTACATTTAAGCAAGGTTTTTTGGTGCAATATTCCAAGCATATAATAATTTGAGAAGAATTACATACCCACCCACATTTGCTTATCAAATCCGAGAACACCAAAGAATTTATTATACTCACTGGAAGGCTGGTATATCACTGATTTCTTCTATTTTCAACTGTTTTGCTCTAGGAATATCAGATGTGGTTAAGAGGTCATCTTGACTTAGATTTTTTGTTGTTTCTACGCTTGTAGAATTAATCCAATTATTGACTAGAGTAGTAGTGTTAGGCACATCAATATTCTGCATCTCATCATCTACTTCTTCAATGAATATTCTTCTCAAAGGTTTCTAAATAGAACAAACACTTAAGGTTAGTGGGATACTCTACTTTATTCTTTGTAAAGACTACAAATAAAAGATTATTGTTTACAATGGACTAGAACCCCAGAGTCACCATGTTAGTGTGCGCTGGTGTCCAGTGCAGATACTTTACAATAAAAATATACAGTGTTTACATATTTATTATAATGTGACTTCAAAACTCATCATAAAATGAAAAATATTCTCTCTCATTTGGCCTTTTCCCTGCTACCATTTTACTTTATTCGTCTGTATCATGGGGCATCCTCACCTCAAAGTCATTCCATTTCTATATTCTGTTCTCCCAGACAACTAAAAGATTAAAAAAACAACAACAACAACAACAACCATACTTCTTGAGAGGCCCTTTAGTCTTTCAATTTAGGATCTATGATATCTGGTCAGTCCATTAGTCAATCAAATTTTGTATCCTGACTTCAAAAGAAAGATGTAGCAATGAGATTTGACTAGCTTTATTTTGCTATATAAATATACTACAATATAAATAAAATATAAATAACTACAAATGGGTCTGTGGTCACATTTAAAATCCAGCCATACTATTTGACTAAATGACATCCTGAGGCACTGAATTCCATAGTTTACCTACCCATTGTTACTGAAATAATTTGTTTTATTTGTTCCTGTTTTGTTAATAATTACTTTGATCCCTGCCTGATCTCCAACAATTGCAGGCATCATATTACAGGCCCTCCACAGGACCTCAGGGTCTTTTACCAGCCACCCAAATGAAGGGTGAATTCCATCCACTGAATGTAATCTTTTGGGAGCAGAGTGTGTTATGCATATTTGCAAGGCTATATACAATTATTAGTAATGTGACTCAAGTTCAAACAGCCAATTAATCTTTAAAGGGAAGAACAGAAGAATGCAAAAGATTCTGGGGCAGATTCTCTGTCATGACTGAGATCTGCTTAGCACAGTGAAGAGGCCATCAGGGAACCAGTTATGACTTTCCAGGCCCCAGCTGCGGCCCAGCCCCACCTTAGGTTAGAACAGTGTGAGTTGCTCTAACAGCTATGCTAGCTAGCAACAATCTCCAAAGAACAGTCCTCCATCTTGGGATAGGCAGAGTGCAATCCATTATGGACACAACCCATCCTGCCCCATGTCAGGAGAGGTGTAGGGTCTCCACTGGGGAGATACAGGTGGTTTCTGTTCTCTTTGTACTGCAAGATCAGTGAAAAGGGAGCAGAGTAGGACAGTACATTTGTAAGTGTCAGTAAATGTCTAACATTAATAGAACCATGAAGGACAAATTAATCTATATTTAGTATCTCCAGTTAGTGCAGCTTTTAAGCTGAAAATTAGCATGTCAATAATGCTACTGCTGATATAACCAAGTGTAATTTAACATTATAGAGGATATATTCTATTACATTTGTATTATACAATATCTTTTAACTGGATGTAATTAATCCAATGCTTATTTTTAAAATTTAAAGAAAAGGACATTATTTTCTACCTAACTTTAGCCTGTTACCAATTTTGGTTTATATTACAATTAATGGACTCAAGAAACAAAACTGTTTGGAAGTTATTTATTAAATTAAGAGAAAATGTATTTTTTAAACATTAGCGTGCTTTGCACTGTACAAGATACAGCAAATACTCTCTGTGTCCCAGGGAATTTACCTTATATTTATAAGAAACAGAAAAGAATTAAAATGTATGAATAATGCAAGTCTAATACATGCTGAAATCTGTATCTGCAAACTACATTTATTATCTTAATATATATTTAAATAAGGCATTTTTACACTAAAAGCGTGCATGCCAAATATCAGTTTACATTTACAACACAACAGGTAAGAAAGGAGTTAAATGTTGAACTCCACTATTTCCTCCATGCCCCTCTATATTTTGAAGATGTTTTCCCCATTCTCTCCCACTTACAGTTGATCTAAGATGTAAGGGTTTATCAATGGGCTGCACCAGGTTTCGTATTTCTGTTTCTTCTGCAGATGGTTCAGGACATTCCTGGTAAGTCCACAGCCCTTTCTCAACTAATTCCTTAAAGATAATTGTTCAGATAATTAAAATTAAGATTAGTTATGAAATTCATTACATTTATACATATAATCTAAGCACAGAAATATTCTGTTAATAAACTGCAACATATTGTCACAAACATACATACATTCTGTATTTTGGTTAGTTCATTTATTGCTTGTTTATTGCCAGGTTCCAACTTCAAAACTGTTTCAAAATCTAAGTGAATAAAAAAACATGAGAAAAAAATGTATAAGTTTCAAGTTGAAGTATTTCTGGTCTTTTTCTTTTTTTTAATTAAACTATCTGTTTTCCCCCAAAGGTAACCGCCTCCAAAATAATTAATTTTCAAGTAAATTAGGGCTGTCAGGCGATTAAAAAAAAAGTAATAGCGCTGTTAAACAATAATAGATTACCATTTATTTCAATATTTTGAGATGTTTTCTACATTTTCTAATATATTGATTTCAATTACAACACAGAATACAAAGTGTACAGTGCTCACTTTATATTTATTTATTTTTTATTATAAATATTTGCACTGTAAAAAACAAAAGAAATAGTTTTTTTCAATTCACCTAATACAAGTACTGTAGTGCAATCTCTTTATCATGCAAGTTGAACTTACAAATGTAGAATTATGTACAAAAAAATAACTGCATTCAAAAATAAAACAACGTAGGCTCTAAAGTTTTACAAGTCCACTGAGTCCTACTTCAGCCAATCGCTCAGACAAACAAGTTTACAGGAGATAATGCTGCCTGCTTCTTGCTTACAAGGTCACCTGAAAATGAGAACAGGCGTTCGCATGGCACTGTTGTAGCCGGCGTCACAAGACATTTACGTGCCAGATGCGCTAAAGATTCAAATGTCCCTTCATGCTTCAACCACCATTCCAGAGGACACGTGTCCATGCTGATGATGGGTTCAGCTCGATAATGAACCAAAGCAGAGCGGACCAACGCATGTTCATATTCATCATCTGAGTCAGATGCCACCAGCAGAAGGTTGATTTTCTTTTTTGGTAGTTTGGGTTCTGTAGTTTCTGCATCGGAGTGTTGCTCTTTTAAGACTTCTGAAAGCATGCTCCACACCTCATCCCTCTCAGATTGCAGACGGCACTTCAGATTCTTAAACCTTCGGTCGAGTGCTGTAACTATTTTTATAAATCTCACATTGGTACCTTCTTTGTGTTTTGTCAAATCTACTGTTAAAATGTTCTTAATACAACATGTTGTGGGTCATCATCCAAGACTGCTATAACATTAAATATATGGCAGAATGCAGATAAAACAGAACAGGAGACATACAATTCTCCCCCAAGGAGTTCAGTCACAAATTTAATGAACACTTTTTTTTTTTTTTAAACTAGCATCATCAGCATGGAAGCACGTCCTCTGGAATGGTAGACGAAGCATGAAGGGGCATACAAATGTTTAGTATATCTGGCACGTAAATACCTTGCAATGCCGGCTACAAAAACGCCCATGTGAATGCCTGTTCTCACCTTCAGGTAATATTGTAAATAAGAAGCGAGCAGCAGCATCTCCCGTAAATGTAAACAAACTTGTTTCTCTTAGCGATTGGCTGAACAAGGAGAAGGACTGAGTAGACTTGTAGGTTCTAAAGTTTTATATTGTTTTGTTTTTGAGTGCAACTATGTAACAACAACAAAAAAAATCTATATTTGTAAGTTACACTTTCACGATAAAGAGATTGCACTACAGTACTTGTATGATGTGAATTGAAAAATACTATTTATTTTATCATTTTTACAGTGCAAATATTTGTAATAAAAATAATAATATAAAGTGAGCACTGTACACTTTGTATTCTATGTTGTAACAGAAATGAATATATTTGAAAATGTAGAAAAACATCCAAAAAATTTCAGTGGGTATTCTATTGTTTACCAGTGCGATTAATCACGATTAACTTTTTTGAGTTAATCATGTGAGTTAACTGTTTGAATTTAAATTAGAAAAATATAAAGCTAGACTATTTCCTAGTAGCTAATAATATGTAATATAAGAAAATTTGTATAACTAGGTGGGAAAGACATTTTATGTTAAAATAAGACTTATTATGAAAGCATCAGTAACAGTTCCATATTTAAGATTGATTGGCATGTTATACTTAAACAGGAACTACAAATGCATAATTAGTGCACCCAAACAGCCATAACTCTGTCCTGTAGTGATACCACAAGGCAGCAGGGCTGAGGGGGAAAAAAAAAAAAAAAAAAAGTGTATCTTTAAAAAAAATTATTTTTACCTAAAATGGAACTATAAATACTAAAATGCTTTAATTATAATTATGTGGTTATTGCATGGTGTCAGTACAGAGACTTAAGGTTGTTCAGGTGCCTTAACTTTGCATTTCTATACCTTTAACAAGTTTGGATTTCTTTTAAATTTAATCTTAACTCTGAATTACCTTGTTTTATCATATTTGTTTCTGGAACAGTTACACTATTCCTGTGATGTATTTTCCTCTAAATTACTATTCTCAAACTAGACTCCATCTTAATGTAGTTTTTGGATAGAGATAATACTAAAAACACATGCTGAAGCTTGAAAATTAGGTTGGTTTAATGACCACTACGGTATCAGTCTTCATATCTCCCACTCTCCCAATATTCACATCCCATGCTGTTGAGCCCTAATTTCTTGCAGGAATCCAAACCTAGAATCCTTCTACAACACTCTTTAAATAATACATTCCATTGCAATCTTTAGAGAGATAATTTTATCTGTTCAAATGAGTAAGGGGTGGTAGGTGACATAAATCTTCAATTTGGCCTACCAATGCAAAAAATTAGAGATTTGACATTCATGGTACCAAAAAAGTGGTCTTCCTAGAAGTTGTGCCCCAATATACTGGAAATGCCAATAAATTGGTGTAATTGCTTATTGGGTGTTTAAAGAATCAGGACTAAATAAATCTACATATGGTACCTAACCCATCACAAATATTTGCTTGCATACAAAGTCTCACCTTGCATAGCTTCTTTTAGTTTTCCTAGTGCTGCTCTGGCAGTCCCTCTTCTGGCAAAAGCTTTAGAATAGGAAACATCTAGTAATACAGCTTGTGTGCAGTCTGCTTCTGCCTCCTCATATCTCAGCAGAAAATAAATTTTAAAAGATTATTATACTAATCATGTAATGAAAACACAGTTTCCAATATTAAAAAAAAATAGTTTCTCCAAGGTATAAACATTTGGACCAAAGGCTTAATATCCGGATGCCTAAAATTAAGTCCTTAAATCCATATTTAGACACCAATAGAAGTGGCCTAGTTTTTAGAAGTGTTGAGCATCCCCAGCTCCCGTTAAGTCAATGGGAGGTTCAGGAGCTCAGTACACCTTTGAAAATCAGTCCTCTTTTATTAAGTGATTAAATATCAATCTAAGGGTTTAATTTTATGCACCTAGGTTTGAAAATGTTAGCCTTAGTTTTTGTTACATCCAGTGACACATCACAGATCTAAATTCCCAGCTTTTGTCAGAGTCTGTCTACAATATTAGTTTATTTCTAGACTTTTTTTTTATACAACAAACTACAGAGTTTTTAGAAAGCAATATTTTTCCAAATAAGCGTAATCTAACAGACTTATTAAAAACATTTATATGATATACTTTAATATATTGGTTCTGTACCTGAATTTTGTGATAGCCACACAGAAGAACAGATACTACATGGAAAGAGCCTTTACAAATGGTAGAAACTTTTGTCTCATTTGACTGTAAAATTCAATTACAGAGACAAGTATGCGTGTCTATTGTTACTGGGACTTCTTGGTTTACTCAAACAGCAAACAACAACAAAAACCCAACTACCTTTCTACGTCCATTACTGAAAAGAGTTTGTATGGTTAAAAAAATATTTGTTTTTATAGACTGCTTATAACCATTCCTTCAGAAGTTTGAAATCTGAATCAATTTCTTTAGCTAAATTAGCTCTCTTCCATCCTATATGAGACATCTAGCAACTTTCTATCTTTTTGTCATACACAAGCAGCATTGATCCGGGTCCTTTGAAGACGCGAGTATAGTTGCACAGAACTTTAAAAAGTAAGAAAAATTGGACTGGTTAAATTGTGAGAAAATAATTCAAGGTTCATTGTGGTTTCAACCTAACCCTATTTTTCTCTTTCAAAATGTTTTAATTAAAAATTAATCACAAGATAACATATGCATATATTAAAGGAGACATTGAAAAGAACAACTGAACATTTGTTTGAATATATTTTATACTGAATTCTGAGAAGAGTGTAGAATGAATGGCAGTAACAGTTTGAATTTAAATGAAACTGATGTATCATTTTTTGTTCCCAATTTACAAAGAATAGAGAAGCATACACTCAACACCACTTACTTCTGAATCTTTAGATAGGCCATAGCTCTGTTAGCTGGCAGAAGTGCATTGGTGCCATCTGCTGCTATACCACGTGTATAACATTCAATTGCTGCTTCATATTTTCCCTCTTTGAAATATCCATTTCCCTGATATATTTGGATGGAAAAATTGTGCAATATTAAGGAAGTTCTGATAGACATTAGATATACTGGTGAGCATTTAAAAAATACTAATAAGGCGAGTCACATTAATAAGTGATGCACTTTAAAATTTGCTAGAAATGAGAAGTACTTTACTACATTAAATGGAAGACATTTTGTAGCCAGATACATAAATAATACATTCCATTGCAATTTTAGAGAGATAATTTTATCTGTTCAAATGAATAAGGGGTGGTAGGTGAAATAAATCTTCAATTTGGCCTACCAATGCAAAAAATTAGAGATTTGACATTCATGGTGCCTACTTAGTTTTCATATATAGAATAACACACTGGAAAAACTGTCAAACATGGATTAACTTTTTAACCTTACCACTACTCAAATATTCTTCACAAAATTAATTTCTCACAACAGACCAGCGCCATGGGATGAGATGATTATATTTAATAGAATACACTCACACACACACACACTAAAATAATAGTTTTTTATATAAATATAAATAAAAATGAAAAATAAGTGATGTAGTGATACTATTCTAAGTTGCAAATTTAAAAAAAAATGTTTTACTACATTTACATTACTACATTTCATATAGAAAGTTCTTTAAAAAGAGTATAAACTTATTTTTTTTTAAAAACCCATGTCCGATGGGAGATTCCACTGATTCAGCCCTATAAAAAAAAGGACTCAATCACTGCTCAGATAAGGGTGGTGGTGTGCAGTTTATTTGTCAGATTCCTGCTCTTCGCAAGAAGACTAGAAGAAATAAAATCTAGAATCAAAAATAATGCATATGGCAAAACATTCTATTGCATTACGGTAGAAATCTACATCTATGATGCATTTTTTTTCAGATAGTTATAGGACATCAGCTATAGAAAAGCTTACGGAGTTACTTCAAGATTATATGGCTCCATATAATCCAAGTGTAACCTATAGTACCACCTGTTGCAGAAATAAGTGAGAAGGAAGGAAATTTATAAGCACAGAGGAAAAACAAAAGCAGACTGATTTCAGCATAAGGAATCCTTAGCAATAGTTTATTATGACTTAGCTGTAAGAAAAGCCAAGAGTTCCTCTTTCTCTAGGTAGGCCCTCTAACTCATCTTCTTCAGATCGCAAAATGCTTTGTCAATGCACAATTTCTCCCCCTGACTATAGAAGTCTATATCTCTAGTTATTATGGCTATTCTGAAAAAAATAAACCTGGCACCACTGTTGCTTGCACAGTAAAATTATAGTATACTATTACTTATCTCGAGTAAATATTTTGTTCATTTTCCCCTCATGTGTAAAGGTTATGTGATTTACCAAATCTTTCTCTGCAATAGCCTTCTGCTTGAGCTGCTGCTCTTCTATTTGCTTCTTTTCTTCTTCTGTTAATTCAAGCTTCTCTCCAACTTCTTCAGCTTCGTTTTGTTGTGAATTTTCTTTTGATGTTAGAGCCTGGGATAGATAGCATCAGCAATATTATTCAACTCATTTTCTCTCACACACTGCTTGTCTATATGGTGGCTTTGTTCACACCAGGCAGAAGTATAAATTCTAATGTGCACTAACATGTCACTCACTAAGTTGAGTAGGTATCTTTTAGTGTGTGCCAGCAGGATCCACACAGGCCATTTAATGTGCAACATGCTGGCACGCATTAGCATTTACACTCCTCCTGGTGTGGACTAAGGCACCATGTAGACAAGTCTACACACACACACACTTTTCTTCAACTGGAATATATCACAATTTGTAGTCTAATCAAAACTCTATCTTGGAAAGCATTTTATTTATTTTTAAGAAAGCTACTTTGTTATAACTTGGATGCATACAATTTCTCACTGTTAGAAATAAAAACATTTAAAGGGACTAGCTCTTTAAAAGGGACTAGAGCTCTTCATTGTGTTGAAGTGTCTACCTACCACATGCTTCCATCACAGCGTCTCTGTGAAGCACAACTTTGATTTTTGTTAAAATATTTAGCAGATGGCAGTAAAATTCTGATTCTGATGTTCCAGTTTCTGAAGAATGCTTGTAGCTTATTCCCAGCACTGTCTGTACAACATTAGCTCCAGCTGGCAAATCATTTTAGAGTTCATTACAATGTTTAAAAGGCAAAGATTTGTTTTAAAAGTAACTTTTTCAAATGCTTCCAAAATAACAGGGGTATTATTTTTGGACTCTGAGTAACTTGTATTTACCACAGCTAATTAAAATCAACATTCTCTCTCAGTACACTGCTTGCGTGGTGGACCTACCATAGATTTTAATCCACATCGATTTTTGATCTCCTGCCATGCTTACACCCAACTCACCACGCTTCCCAATTTGTATCAACTACAAAAATTAGTCTGAGGCATAAGTAGAGCGCACTCAAACATACGATCAGCCAGAATTACTCTGTAGCTAACGGAACACGTAAGGTTCTTCCACTTATATACAGTGCTACTATGTGACTTGTGCTAGACTGATCACAAACATAAAAACAAAAACAAAAGAACAGATGGGAGGATGAAAATCGTTTGAGAAATCAAAAACAGGTTAGAAACATGACATGGTCAGAATATTGGTATCCACTGTTTTTTTTCACCAAGATTTATATGGGTTAGTCCACTGTAGGCCCCAATGAGCTACCATTTCTTTGGTCAATGCTTATTAATTTGCAAGAAGTAGACTAAAATTTTTCTTAAAATCCTGACGGAAAATATGCCATGTACTAAAAGCATAAATATAAAATTAACAAAGAGTTTCTTGGCATCATGAATCAAGTTAAATATAAAAAAAGGTGTTTATTAAACTGTTAGCAACGATTCATCTCTCTTACCTGATCGATTTTCTGGAGTTCATTTTTTGCTTCAAAGTTATCTGGATCCAGTTCTAAAACCTTTTCATAATCTAAACAGCAGATAGGACATCAAAATTCCATATTTTTATATAACAACATTACAGGTGAGAAATTAGAAACTAGCATATTTAACTAGTACCAAAATGTGAACTGACAGCTTCTATCAAGTCATTTTGTGGTACTACAAAAAAACAACAACTGGCTAGCTGGCTTAAGATGTCACACAGAGTTTACTATTCTAAGCCATTTAAAATCCAATTATTTCATATACTACTTGTAACTACTCTTCTTAGACTTACTATCCCTTTTCAACTTGCCAGATAAACTCGATCTGGCACCCATTTGATTTCTTCTTGAAAATGGAAATCAAGAGTTCTTGATCAACAGGGATAAAAACAAACAAACAAAAAATCTACAAAAAGAAGCTTTAGTGTATAAAAGAGTTTGCATTTACAATAAGGATTGTTTTAAATAATAAAAAAAAAAAACTAACCTTCTTTGGCCCCCTCAAGATTTTGCAAAGAAAAGCGAGCAGCTCCTCTCCTGGAATAAGCCTTTGTATAATTCTTATTTAGTGCAAGTGCTAAATTGCAGTCAGATTCAGCAACAGAAAACCTATAACAATACTGCAAATTAGTTATTTTGAATACATTTAGATTAAAGAGAAACATAAGTATGGCTCCAGATTAAGCTAACAGGATTTATCCGAAGTATGACAGAACATTAGAGAGAGTCCATTTTGGGGGGTTTCAGTGACATTAATTCTCTAGATAAAGACGATGCGTAGAGGCGGTATTCAGCATTAGTTGTTGACATGAACTCTGACAATTTTAGGTGTACTCTTCCTCAAAGTATTTTCAGCACTATTCTGATGGTAATCCCCTTTGGGAGTAAAAAGGCAAAAAACAAACAGCTTACTCTCTCTGCCCCAGGGCCACCTGGGACTTTTCCTGACATCTGAAGGAGGCTAGAGCAATACCTGCTGCCCAATAAAGACTGAATTCCCAATAAAAGGCCTGGATCATGCCCAGAAATGAGGTTTAGATCTCAGTTGAGGTACCTGATAAAGGGAGCAGTAAGGGCTTGTATACATGAACACTTAGTTCACAACAAGCTGGGATGTAAATCAACCCCATACTAAACTGTTGTGCACTAAGTGCCCATGCGGACACTGCAGCTGCGCACTAAAAGTTCCCTAGTGAGCTTTAACCTAGCCCGCTTTGAAATCGGAACAGACTGAAGTGCGCTAGGGAACTTTGTGTGTATGCTGCCACATACTAGAAATTCCCATGTGTGCTTTAATCTACTCCCAAACAGGGTAGATTAAAGCACACTAGGAAACTTCTAATGTGCAGCAGCAGGGTCCACAGTGTGCGGCAGGCTAGTTACACCCCAGCTTGCTGCAATCTAAGTGTTTGTGTAGACGATCCCTAAGAGACAAATATTTTTTCCTTTTCTTTGTTACGATGCACTCCAATATAATAGGTGTGCAGGGTCTCTAGACACCACAGTCCCTCTGCCAAAAATGGGAAGCCCTGGAAGCACTGTGAAAATTTGGGGCTATTTTAGAGGGCAAAAAAAAAAGAGTATCTTTACTCAAATATTCTACAACAGGGAGGTTGGGATTTCAGTCTGAAGCTGTGGAGGCAGATTGAAACTGATAACTTCAGAAAGACACTTTCCACCCTGGCAAATCAAATTCTACCTCCAAAGCTGCAAGCAGGCTGAAAATGCACATAAACAGACCTGTGGATCTTTGCATGACAAACAATATATTTATGACTACAATTCAAAGCAAAATAGTATTCCAAAGAAAAAATTTGATAACAAGTCTTACTTTTTCATTCTAAAGAAAGCAGATGCTCTGTTTGTGGGGAGGACTGGATTGTATGGATCAGCATTCATCCCCTTTGTGTAACATTTTATTGCTTCATCATACTTTCCCTGTTGAAAGTACATATTGCCCTGTTTATAAAAACAAAACAAAACAAAAAAGGCAGCTTGTTGTCAATTTGTCACAGTACAGTCTTTTGCTAAATAAACATTTTGTACTCATTTCAGTTCAGTCTCTTAATTTTGTGGTGCAAAGAGAACAAACATTTTATACGTTGGGTTAAACATTCCAGTTTAAAGTCTCCAAACATTGCTATCATTAGTCTGTTACTTACAAAACATTTCTAAAATGTTTCTCACCTTCCTACAGTCAATTTTTATTATCCCTGTAATAAAGATGGTTTACTTTGTCATACTCTATTATTTCAAGGTCATCCAGCTTGTTAAAAGACTCAACTTAATACAGACCACTGCTGTTTGAATTTCCATAATTATTAAAATCTCCTCATATGTTGCCAATGAAAATCCAACCAAATATCACAGTATTTTAGCTTTCCAAGAAGGTTTATGACATCATGCCATAGTACATTTTGTATTTTCCTTTTATGTTACAAGTTATTCTGAGGCCAGAATATTGGCTTGCCCAAGTATAATTTGGAGATATTTGGAGAAGGGATGGGAAAAAAGAACTTATTGTTTTGGCATTGTTTCCACAGTTATGGAAGCAGCTTTCTATTGGCATTCAGAAAAGTCAGTCTGGGTTAGATTTTAAAGGAACATTTAAGACACAATTGACACCAATTTGAATTGAGATGCACCCTGAGAGTTGTGTATATTTTCTACATTAATCTGTTTTCTGCTAATATTATTCCAATAATAATTTACATAGCATCTTAAAACAAAATCTGCTAGAAAAATAATAGTAGTATGGGAAAGAAGCCAATATAAAATCTTGTGAGGAATATTTGTCCAGCCCATCAGTCAAGATGAACTGTCTCAATCTATAATGGAAGAACAAAGTGTCCCACAAATAAAAACAGTGATCATAAGGTTAACTCATAAATGAGAGCGACTAAGATAATACAGGACAGCGTACAAGAGAAATTCAGAAGTAATGGAAACCCTTTTTTTTTTTCTTCCCCCTCAGATGGTTGGATCTAGGACAGTTGTGGGAACACAATCTCTAGGAAGGAGGATGACATACGCATCACACGTTCTTACTCTTAACAGCCTGCTGCTGCCTCACAAGATTACCAATTCTGCAAGCTACATAATGAGCCCAGTGATCAGCTGCTGTACAAGGCAACAGACTCATACAGGTAAGCTGGAAGCTCAGAATTGAGAGAGTGAATCAAAAACGTATACTTCATAAAAGAAATGGAAAGGTCAGGAGACTGACAACAGGATATGAAGACTTTCAAGTCCAGCCAAGGTTGATAGTGACAAAGAATTAGTACTGTACCATCTGAGTTCTGCACAGTCATATATAGTGAGTTGGTGTTCCCACCTCAAATCCTGATGAACAGATAGTCAAATGAAAAACAAAAACAAAAAAACAAAAAAAACCAAAAAACTCCCATCAGAATTGGCACCCTTCTTCGAAGTCAACAGAAAGACCAAGGTTGAGACCTATGGACAAAGACTGAACTACTCTCACTCCTAGATTTAGCTACTTTAGGTCCAGGATGAGGAATACTGGCAAGGTGGTGGAGGAAGGGAAGACAACAGTATTTCCAGGGCTGTGCTATATTTAAGATAGGGAAGCTCAGTCTCAACAACCTATCCCCTTTAACAAGCAGAAAGTTGACTTAAATGGTGTGCGAAGATCAGGAGGGAATCTTCTCACTCAGAAGAATATAATGAATCATGGACCTTTGGCAAAATGAAGATATCATACATTCTAGCTGAAATTGGAGGGGAGAGAAAAAAGAATGGTTACTTAACCTACAGTAACTGAGGTTTTTTGAGCTGTGTTGTCCACCCAGATTCTGCTTCTGGTGTGCATGTGTCCCATGCATGTGAGATCAGATCCTTTCAGCCGCATCCATTGGGGCCACATATATGCCTTAGATACCTTTGTGATGTCCCCACCCACCCAAGGACATCAAAGACAGAATGGGCTCAACGATCCCTCAGAGGAAACCTGATATTGCTTGTCGGCTTTTTTCGAAGTCGGTGCCATTGGTGCTGGGGTCTGCCACAAGATCTTAGCTATTCTAACAAGCCTCCATTAACACGCATGGTAAGGCTACTTGAAGGCATGAAAGAGTGCAGGATACCTAGTAATTTGTGTCAAGTATCAGAGGGGTAGCCGTGTTAGTCTGGATCTGTAAAAAGCAACAAAGAGTCCTGTGGCACCTTACAGACTAACAGATGTATTGGAGCATAAGCTTTTGTGGCTGAATACCCACTTCGTCAGACGCATGCGTGTAATTTGTGTGGCTTTTCCTATACTACCTCTACGGGAATTTCTAACATATCTGCTGTGTGTCTTAAAAGCTCTCAGAAGGTCCTGAAATCATCTGTCTAGCTAAGAACAGAAGTGATTGCCTCATCTGGTGAATAGAAGGAATTGCTGTTGGGAATAAGTGTTCTTCCATCTTCAGCTGCTATTCTTCATTGTCATGGTCTTGTTGTTGCAGACTATGAGACTGTACTAAGACCTGCTGAGTAAATCTACGGTGTCTTGTAGGAGATATAACTACAGAGCAGGGGAAGAGTAAAGGTAAGGGCAGCACAAGGTGTCCTGGGATGACACAGGGGTGGAGGCCATGGGGGTGAAGCCACAAAGAATGTTCTCCTCAAGTTTCCTGATGTCTGTGCCTATAATGGCACTCTCTGGAATCTATCTGGCCAGTAAGATTTATACAAGGCAGAGTGAGGTGTATGTGGAGATATCTTCCTGCTATGCTCTAAAGGGCAGGAAGAAAATGAATAGCTCCCCCATTAAAGGAAGCAATCTTGTCAGGTGTCCTAGGGTCCTCCCACAACCAAGTGACAGGATTTAACAGGTGAGTTCATCACTACCATGGCCACATCAGAAGTTGGCAGTGAGGCAGAAGCACCTCTGCTAAATGATGCAGATAGCTGGGGTGACTTCAGTAGTCTGGTGACCATAAGACGAATGGGTACCTAAAAAGTCAGTGCTGGAAACATCTGCACTGCGGAGGTGAAGTCTGAGTCATGGGCACTGAGGCTCAAGGCTGGCAGTTCCAATGGCAGTACTGAGGGAAATGAAGACCGTGGTTTCAGATGGTGCCATAAGTTCCTGGCGACTAACTGTACCAAGGCATCAGAGGGACCCAGTCTCAGTTACCAACTGCCTTTTGGCTAAGGGGCATTGGCTCGAGTCACGGTAGGTCTTTTGTCTGTTTTTATTGGGCACCATGATGGGTGACCATGTTTGTGGAGCGGCGCTGCTTCCAATCACTTTCAGACAATGACTGGGTAGAGGAGTTCTTGTTTGTCCTGCCAGATGCAGTAGTCTTAGATTAAGAAAGTGCCTAGGAGCTTGGTGTAGGGCCACAGCTCAGTAGGGTGCTCATTCAAATAGACTGAGGAAGCAGGACTTTTTAGCCTCGGGCTCTGAAGAGGCCCTCATTAGTGCTCTAAAAGTAGAGCTTAAGATGGGCCTCGGTGGCTTTGTGCATCCTCTTGGAAAAGGAACAGACTGAACACTTATCAGGATTCTGTCCCTCACCAAGGCAGAAGAAACACCAAGACCATCCACCATTAAACAACATAGCAGCCTCTCAAGAAGGACAAGTTTTAAATCCCAGGGATTTAGTTTTAGCCATATCAACTAAGTACCAGGTAAACTCCAAATCTAATCTAATTTTTTTTTAGCCAAATGGGTGTAACAAAGTAACTATTGACTAACTACACTAACAATTCTAATTATCCTGACAACTAACAGGTTAGTGCACAGAGTATGCGGACACTGCAAGCGTTCTCTCTTGTTGTCAGGAGCAGTAAGAAAGAAGTGAGGGATAACTGGGCCCATTGCTCCCTTTATGTCCTTTCCGAAAGGGAGTATGAGTGTGGAGAGGGTGGTGCAGTTCAAGTGTATGTGGGGCATGGTCATGGTCCCAACGGACACTGCTGTCTAAAAGAATCTGTTATTGGGCACATGCTCACCAGAAGTGGAATCCATGTGGACAATGACTTGAAGAAGCAGCCAAAGTTCAAATGTCTCGGTCACTTTTTTTTTTTTTAAATGGTCATTTAATGCTGCAATAACCTTTTCTTTCTCAGCAAGAGCTTTTTCTGCATCTATATGAATTCCATCTTCTTCAGAGTCCGATTCTGGAGATAAGGAATCATGGGTACTATCTTCTTTGTCAAGTTCTTCAAGTATTTTGTCCTAAAAACATAAAATAAATTCACGTATATAATGTTCATTATATTCCATGACTCTATACAAATTATAACTAGATATCAAAAGACAAACTAGACATAGGATTTTTAAAAATACATCTGTCAATTATTACAAATACTACTGATAGTACTTTTTGTCTTTATTTAACTAAGGTTGCGATGTTGCTCAGCCACGGGGGTTCACTTGTGCAGATCTCTATACAGCATTGAGGCCTAAGAATGTATGACTTATAATTTTGTAAGCTGATTTTGAAATATTGACAAAGGTAATAAAACAACTTCCTGACACACACACTAAAAAATAATAAAACTAAGTTATTCTACTTGGGTTCTTGTAAAATGCTAACTGTTATTACAGATATTTAAACACTGATAATGGTGCTATGGATGGTGCTTAGTAACAGCTGTGCATGCAGTATAAAATTGCATAAATTTGAAAATATACACCATAAATGTTTGAAATACAGAATTATTTTCTGTGACTAGAACATAGCCATACTCCACGAAGTTCACAAAAAACCCTGAACTACCTGAATGTCCGTTCTACATCAGGGATTTTAGATTCCTATTCAGGTTTCTCTACTCAAGAAAACATTTAAGCACATGCTTTAGTGCTTTTCTGAATTCAGGCCTTAATGAATTGCACAGATTTTTGCAGCTGGGCTTGCAATACATGTTTGGAGACCACTCAATTTGTAATCCGTAATCCAAACTGTAACATTTAAATTGACAGTGGTATAGGTTTTTCATGATCATTTTTAAATTTGTAAGTGGCACAATAAGTCATAATTAAATGAAAAGCTTTCACACTCAGTTTTGATTATGAAATCGTGATTTGTTTCACAGTATTTCAGTGTATTCACTGCACTTAGTTTTAGTGAATCTCAGTTTACAATTTTGTACTTGGAAAAATTTATTAATATACAAACAAGATGTCTCTCTGCACTTACCATGTCTAATTTAGTATATGTACAGCCATGCTAAATCCACCACACAGCAAAGAAAAAGTTCACTCTTACAGGGAAATATTTGTCATCCCAAAAATCCACCCCACGCCCAATGCTTATTCAAACATTTTAATCGCTGATAACATGCTAAACCTCACAGATTCTACCCTTTTCTGAATGTAAATAAAAGTGGGATGAGCTTAGTATCTTAATACTTATTCTACTGAGTATTTTATTTTTTAGATCAGATTAAAGTTTTAAAAGACCTTAAATACTGGACTCCCATCATAAGACAGTTAATCTGTTACACCTCTACCTCGATATAACGCTGTCCTCGGGAGCCAAAAAATCTTACCGCGTTATAGGTGAAACCGCGTTATATTGAACTTGCTTTGATCCACCGGAGTGCGCTCTTCCCCCCTGAGCACTGCTTTACCGCGTTATATCCGAATTTGTGTTATATCGGGGTAGAGGTGTATTTTTGAAACATAGCATTATCTACCTCAAAGCTACAGAAACATTTTTAAAAATTAACTTTGATTACAATTTTTTAAATAGCCATCCTCAAATCTCCAGCTTCTGTAAGCTGTTACCTTCTTGGGTAAACCTAACTGTGTAGCATTAGTCAGACATATCCAATGAGAAACCTGAGACTAAAATTCATAAGAGGCATCATCCTATTGGTATCCTGAAGGTTTCCATTCCTTTTAAACACCATGCTGCATTCACTTCAGGAACCTAGTTAAGAGACACTACAGTAGTAAGACTTCAGCTCCAAAACTTTCACAGGTTAAATTTGTTTGATTCCAAATAATTAACAGAACGTATTCAGCCTTTACACAACAGCTTAATTCAATACACTTCTTGCATTGGTCTGGATGCTTACAATGTCAATAGCAGCACAAGCAGCATGAGCTCATGAACTCAGGGTTTGGCAGGTACTTCAAGAAACTATTTTCCGAATATTTTGTTTTAAAAACATATTAATCACAAAGCTTATTCACACATACTACACCTCTACCCCGATATAACGCTGTCCTCGGGAGCCAAAAAATCTTACCGCGTTATATCGAACTTGCTTTGATACGACGGAGTGCGCAGCTCCGCCCCCCTGGAGCGCTGCTTTACCGCATTATATCCGAATTCTGTTATATTGGGTCGCGTTATATTGGGGTAGAGGTGTAGTAATAAACTGAGATGCCAAAAATGTTTTAAAAATACACCTCTACCTCGATATAATGCGACCCGATATAACATGAATTTGGATATAACACGGTAAAACAGTGCTCTGGGGGGGCGGGGCTGCGCACTCCGGTGGGTCAAAGCAAGTTCAATATAACGCAGTTTCACCTATAACACGGTAAGATTTTTTGGCTCCCGAGGACAGCATTATATCGAGGTAGAGGTGTATATGTACACCAGCTTTAACCAATACTTCCATAAAAAGTTACAACATATATGTTAAATATTTACCTCACACGCTCTTCTCCTATTCTGAGCCACTTCTTGTAGAATTATTTTACATTTAAAATAAAACACTATTTTTAAAACCATTTTTTCTTAAAGACAAAAATTCATCATATGAGCCAGAGCAGGGCGTAACCACTGTGGAATAATTCACACCTAATGTATTTTAAATAAATTATAATATCCTATTTCACATCTTTTCAAGGACCAAAATGTAAGCTATTTGGGGGAAGGAGTGTTATTTTCTGCTTTTACAATACCTAGTACAACTGGGAACCAACTTAGCAGGCCTCTAGGCACTAATGCAATATAATATTAAGCAATAGCATCAATTAGGTATGACACAGGAGATAAGTATACCATATGCCTGGAATAACGTACCACATCAAGCTTTCCCCATGCTTCATAGTCATAAGATTTTATCTTGTTTTTTTTGTTTTCCTCAGTGGTTTTCTTAGAAGGTACTTTAGCTTTGCTCTTCTTTTTTTTCCTATATGCCTCATTTCGAATTGGTGGTAAATTCTAGGTAGAACAAACAGTTATTTCAGTGTAGTTTTAACTTAACAGAGAAATAGTTATGAGATTTTTTTTCAGATAAGACAGGATAATGTTTAAAGTAAAATACTTTTTTTTAAAAACAAAGAATGATTGAAAACTGCATGTCTTAAAGCTGAAGGCAGATTTAAGGTGGTACAGCTTTTGATACTAGCAACACATGACTGGCTTTATCTTCTAAGACAGGGGTGGCCAACCTGAGCCGGAGAAGGAGACAGAATACATCAATGTACATTGCCAAAGAGCCACAGTAATACGTCAGCAGCTCCCGCATCAGCTTCCTCCCCCTCGCACTCCCAGCACCTCCAGCAGCCCCACCGAACAGCGCCTCCCCCTCCCTCCCGATCAGCTGTTTCCTGGCGTGCAGGAGGCGGGGGGCGGGGGGAAGAGTGGGAGAAGCAAGGGCATAACAGGCTCAGGGGAGGGAAGGGGTGGAGTGGGGGCAGGGCCAGGGGTTGAGCAGTGACCACCCCCCAGCACATTGGGAAAGTTGGCACCTGTAGCTCCAGCCCCGGAGTCGGTGCCTATACTAGGAGCCGCATATTAACTTCTGAAGAGCCACATGTGGCTCCGGTTCTAAGAGAATCTGTAAACTTTAATACTCAAAGTATTTTGAAAAATGAAAATCTTTGTAAATAAATGTAAATGAAAGACTTTACACTGTCACAATTCTGAAGTAAGATAGACTCAAGTTTAGTTTTAGATTAGGTTTCCCTGAATCCAAAACATTTTGAAGAAAACTGTTTGTCACCCAGCTTTGCAGCTCCACTCAAATAATGTTCATGCTGATGCTGCTCCAGAAGCTGACAAAGATTTTCCTTATGGATAATATAAATCTAATAGGATGTGTTAAAATGCAATTTCAAAAATACACACATTAAGATGTTTACCATGGTGGAACCTCTTTGTGACTATGTAAAACAAGATTCAGTTCATTTTTGGATTTGAATTTCAGACATAAATAGATGTATAATATTTTGGATAAAAAGGAAAGAGGAGCAAAAAAATGGTAATATGCATGTTTGACTGGGAAATGTGCTGATTCTGTAAATCTCCATGTGTTCTCTTTCCTCTGAAACATAAAACATTTTAAAAGCCAGTGGTGCGTTTCATACCAATATTAATTATCCACGTGACTGCAGAGGGTGAAACTCTGTCCTCACTGACATCAGTGGGAGTTATGCCATTTATTTCAATGGAGCTAGGATGCCACACAAAGTTACTCTGCATAGAAATAAACCATATACCTCCACACGTTAGTGGTTGTTAAATTTTTACAGTTTTATACTGAAGCATCAGTTTACTTGCAGAGGGCCAAATCCTATTTGCCTTACTTATGCAGGGAGCCCTGTGATACCAACAGGACTTCTCAGAAGAGTACATCAAAGAGGATTTGGCCCAGCATAAAGAAATACTTTAAACATATAGCAGGGTAGCATTGCATGTACTTTGATCATACATGCTGCTGGTAAAAAAGAGAGAGAGAAAGAAAAGAAAGGGGGGAGGGTTAGGAGATACTGATCCTTAGTCTTTATGAAATATCCTTGAGGAGCAGCAATAATGTGTCCCTAGACAATTAAAATGAGAATCACTTTGAATATTAATCTGTGCAAAGAAAAACAAAACTAAATGATAAATTATTAAACAAATACCACCACTTTTTATTAATAGCTGTGTTAATATTGAGATTGGACTCTTGAATTTACCTCTTCTGGGGCACCACTCTGTTTCCTCAAATCAGAATCCATCTGCTTAATATCTTTTTCCCAGCTTTCTAATTCTCTCACAAAATCATGCAGCTCTTCAGCATTTTGCTTCATTTGCAGCTGTAGCTCTAGTGCTTTATTTGGTGAAGTCATTGTTACCTGTTGAATTTGGGGGAAAATAGGTTTTAATGAGAATCAAAAGCATTTACTGAAGAAAACTAGTTTCAGTAAAATGAGAAAAAAAAAATCGACCGAACTACTTTGCATGCATGACTGAATCTTCCCACCAGTATGAGCAAAGACATTGTGAGAAAAAGTAAGGAGACGAGAAGAGAACAAGTTATTAAAATGAAAAAAAGTTATAACTTTTCTGACATACCGCAACATTTCAAAAGAAAGAAACAAGTCATGTTTTTCATTATTGTGAATAAGGTGTATTGCCTCTTTAAGGAGTAAACTATGTGATCTTGTATTAAAGGAAATGTGTCTTCAATAATTTTTCAAAACATTGTAGTCACACCATCTTGTGTGAAAAAACAAGGAAATTGGCTTTTTAAAGTTAACATTTAACAAAAAATCTGCAGCTATAAAATGTACTCATTCTATAGATGCTACCTCGTGTCTGTGTATGGGCAGAAATTTGATCAATTTAATATTTTTAGGTAGGTTTAAATATGTACGTTCATTTTAACTACCAGGAAGGGGGAGGCTCCCAGAGGTGAACCGCGGCCACTGGTAGCTGCTGGGGGCCGTGCCTGCGGATGGTCAACATCAGCAAAATGTCTCACAGCCCGCCATCAGATTACCCTGATGGACCGCAGGTTGCCCACCACTGCCACCACACCCTTGTCAGTTAGCAGCTGATTTATGCCCTGAAATGTGGTTTTATCACTTACAGAAAAAATATATATTGTTTACCCTATCCAACATCACTGTGGATGTTCAATATTTTTGAACCCTCCTAAATTCCAGGTCTCAGTTTGTGGTGATGCAAAACAAATAGTTGATTATTGTTCAGCTGCTATGTAAAAAAGTACTTATTTTTATCCGTTTTAATTCTGTTTTCTTTACATTTAATTTTATATGCCCTTTGGTCCTGCATTGTGATAGAAGGTAAACAGAAATATCCAATTCACTGTGTCTGATTCCAGTCACTATTTTGTATATTAACGTTATGTCCCCTGTTATTTTTATACTTTCTCAATTAGATACTACTAATCTCTTTACTCTTTCCACGCCTTCAAGTTTTCAGAGTCCTAGACTCCTATTTCTGGTATATCTGTTTTGAGACAGGATGACCAGAATTTAACATTAGATAGCCTTACCTAAAACAAAGATAATATTTTCATGATCATTAACCCACATTCTTTATACAGTGTAACTTTTTGCTTGCTTTTTTTGACCTCTGCTGCACACTGAACAGATGCTCTCCTGGAGCTATCCTGAATGATGCCAAGGTCATTTTCCTAAATCGTTACAATGAATTTAGAACTCAGTGGAACATAGGAATTGCAGCATTGGATCAGAACCATGGTCTCATATCCTGTCTCCAAAGTGACTGGCACCAGATGTTTCAGAGGAACTGCAAGAAACCCAGCAATAGACAGATGTGGGATAATCTGTCTTCCATGAAGGTTTTATCCTAATCTGTAAAAATTAGATTGTTTTAAACCTATACAAATGAAGTGTTATATCCCTTCTTATTTTTTTGGTAACCATTAACTATTATAACTCTGGATATTCTTGCTATCCTGCTAATTTCTTGGCCTAAGTGACATCCTGTGACAATGAGGTCTATAATCTAATTACGTGTTGTGTGAAAAAAAAATCTTAGTACTGAAATTTGGCACCCTTCTGTTTCTCTTGTTCTTGCTATTCTATAGCCTGTTCCTTATGCTTCCTAACATCTTGTTTGTTTTTTGCAAATGAGCAGAGGTCTTCATTGAGCTGAGCACACCAATGCTCGGGTCCCTTTCTAGCATTGATCCTGTTAATTTAGAACCCTGTAAAGTGTACTAGCATGTTTAAGAGTTTGGAGGATAGGAGCCTAAGCAAAAAACTTGGAATTCCATCGCATATTAAAGTCTCTCTATTTATACCTCTCAACACAGAGGACAATAAGAGATATTAATTAGGGAAGCCTTTAACCAGGTGAACACAGTAAGGGTCCTTTCTGACCAAATTATGATATTTTGGCTTGTTATTCCTCAGGCATGTGCTGAAAAGAATTGCTGCTAAAATTAATGTATACACTTACATACATAAGGGAAGTGGGGAGGAAAGGATGGTCTATGGTGGACCAATCACTGGATTGGGAGTGTCATAGACTTTAAGGTCAGACAGGACCATCGTGATGATCAGTCTGACCTCCTGCACATTACAGGCCACAGAACCTCACTCACCCACTGAAATAGACCCCCTACCCTCTGGCTGAGTTACTGAAATCCTCAAATCATGGTTTAAAGCAAGGGTAGACAACCTAAGGCATGCGTGCCAAAGGCGGCACGTGAGCTGATTTTCAGTGGCACTCACACTGCCTGGGTCCTGGCCACCAGTCCGGAGGGCTCTGCATTTTAATTTAATTTTAAATGAAGATTCTTAAACATTTTAAAAACCTTATTTATTTTACATACAAAATAGTTTAGTTATATATTATAGACTTATAGAAAGAAACCTAAAAACGTTAAAATGTATTACTGGCATGCGAAACCTTAAATCAGAGTGAATAAATGAAGACTCGGCACACCACTCCTGAAAGGTTGCCAACCCCTGGTTTAAAGACTTGAAGTTACAGAGAGTTCACCATTTACACTAGTTTAAACCTGCAAGTGACCTGTACCCCATGCTGCAGAGGAAGGCGAAAACCCCCAGTATCTCTGGTAATCTGAGCCAGGAGAAAATTCCCGACCCCAAATATGGCAAGCAGTTAGACCCTGAGCATATGGGCAAGACCCACCAGGCAGATACCCGCAAAAGAATGATCTGTATTAACTCAGAATCCACCCCATCTCTAGCCGTTGGGCGACTGCCAGTAGCAAAAAACCTCATGGGCCACGTGCCATTGTAGGCAGTCCTGTGATACAAGCCCCTCCATAAACTTATCAAACTCAGTCTTGAAGCCAGTTACGTTTTTTGCCCCCACTGCTCCCCTGAGCTGTTCCAGAACTTCACTCCTCTGATGGTTAGAAATCTTTGCATAATTGCCTTTGCCTAAAATTGTTGATGGCCAGGTTATATCCATTTGTTCTTGTGTCCACATTGGCACTTAATTAAAATAACTCATCTACCTCCCTGTTATCTAGTCAGGAGACCTAGATTCAATTCACAGCTCTGCCACAGACTTCCTGTGCAATCTTGGGCAAGTCACTTAAACCTTGATCCACAAAGGTCCTTGAGTGCCCTTAAAATTCAGCTTTAGGCACCTAAAACCCAGTTTTAAACTCCACCATGATCCATAAAACTCCCACCAAACCCCACAGGTGCCTAAACGCACTTGGTGCCTAAGTTTACAGGTTCCCTCTGCATCTAAATTTCTACCTCTGGGCACTTACACTGCTGCTTCACTCTAGGCATCTAGATGCCGAACGATGCACAAACCAGGAAAAGATAGGCATTCATCTGCCTATCTTATGCGCAGAGACCAATCCGGTAGGTGGACTGAGGGTACCTATCAGATCAGGTCCCATTCAAAATCTGCTCGGAGGAGTTTTCTTACAATATTTAGCCCAGTGGTCACCTGGGATGTGAACGATCCAGGTTCAATTCCCCGCTCTGCCAGATTGGGAAGAAGGATCTGACATCTCAGGAAGATGCTCTAATCACTGAGCAATGGGATATTTTGATGTGAGGTGTGACACTGTATGCAAGCCACATGCCAAAGGATATAAAAAGCAGCTGCAGCATCTCCATTTATCTTCAATCCTGCTTCTTACCTCTGGAGTAAGTTCTTTGCAAACTGAAGTTCTGAACAAAGGACTGAATGACCCAGCCAAGCTTTGGATGTGTTCCAGATAGGGATGTAAATACACTTCTACCTCGATATAACGCTGTCCTCAAGAGCCAAAAAATCTTACTGCGTTATATCGAACTTGCTTTGATCCACCGGAGTGCGCAGCCCCGCCCCCTCGGAGCACTGCTTTACCGCGTTATATCCGAATTCGTGTTATATCGGGTCGTGTTATATCGGGGTAGAGGTGTATCATTTTTAAAAGTACCCATTTAAACTATAAAAATTATATTGGTTAACCATTTAACCGGTTAACCAATTTGAGCCTCACAATGCCTAGGATGACATGTCTCCCCTCCCCCTTGCCCCGGACAGATGGGGAAGGGCAGCGGGGGGGTGGGAGGGGCGGAGGGATGCAGGACACAACAGGCCTAGCCAGGAGAGCTTGGGGCAGTTGAGGGGGCCCAGCATGCCCCTTACATCCTCAACAACCAGGAAAAGGGAGAGGAGCCCCAGGTATCTAGTTTGTCCTGACGTGGCCTCCACAGATGCTCCATGCCACCCCAGCAGCAGCTTCATTTCCCTTCAATTATCAGCCAAAACCGCAGCACCGACCAGTGCGTCGTCCGCCTCCGAACTCCTTCCAGTGGCACAGGGGGGATGCCGGGGCCCACTTTACCCCCAATGGGGCCTGCAGCCCCTGCCCCCCCCCATCCTAAACACACTCCCCCTGCCAGGCTGGCTGCCTCCTGCGAAGCCCCCAGACTGGCAGTTTCCTCGTCCTGCTTACCTGCGCTGCCAGGCGTTTCTTGGCCTAGCAAGCGGTATCCTTCCACAAGGGTCCTCACCCCTAGGTCCGTGCAAGTATTTCCTCCTCAGGTCTGTGGGGCTGGAGGGACTGTTTTTACAAACTAAAACAGGACCCTCCTCACTGCTGGGGCGAAGACCCCGCTGGGCTAGAGCATTAATATCAACGTGGCTCCTTTATTAGGGGGCTGGGCTCCCAGTGATCTCTCATGATGCCTGCCCCTTCCTGATGCCATAGCCACCTCTTACCAGCTTCCCAAATGGCACCTCTGCTGCAGAAGAACCTGTTTGAGATCTGCATGCAGGCCCCGGCCCTCAGCAAGGACTTCTACCAGCTGATCGAAAGGAGATGGGTGAACGATGGAGGATTAACAGTAAAACTAATACTTATTGGTTTACCGT